TAAAATATTGTAAAGTTGACACTTTTAATGGACTTTTAATGCAACGTTTAGAGGAACTTTGCATTAAAAGTGTAATTATTTAACAAATGACACTTCACGACAACAGTCATAAACATTCATAAACTCTCCTTCATGTTTGTGACAGGCGCTTTGTCATATTTATGGCAGCGTCACATCAGTCTTATTGCACAGACAGGCGTAAAGTGTCACCAGAAATATCTTGACTCTGAATATTAGTTGATGCTGTTAAATATGACCTGTGTTTTTCCGTTCCCTGAGTTGGGAGGTTGTTTTTGTGGGATGAGATGGGAGCGGTATGAAAAATGTAGATATCTGGCACTTCATCTGAAATTTCATCTATTATGCGAATAATATTTAGTAATTAAATCCTAACTGGACAGACATTTAAAATTAGAGCTTATTAAACAACATAAGATATATTTGACTAAAATTAATCCAAGATTGGATGGGAGTAAATCATAAAAATATATTTAAAAAAATGAAAACATAAATAGACAAATGAATGGTAACAAAATAAATTGAGAATTACCGATTTAAATAAAATTGAGTACACATGACTGACACAGTGAGATAAAAGGGAAGACCACTCAAGATAAATTCATGGAAAACTGCATATAACCTCCATGTTGACTCAATGAAGCTGACCTCCAGTCCGCTTGGTTCGTTGTTCGTTCCAGCAGCAGGTAAGTCTCCCCGACTTACACCTGCTGCTGGCAGGTCCTGTCAGCATTCAGAGTAGCTCAGAAGTCATTTAATTTGGTTTGTTAAACGACAACAAAAAGTTGTTGTAAACTCCAAACAAGGAAACGGATTAATTTGTGTTGAAGGGAAAGTTTTAACAAGCTTCTAAGATTTTGTCCTTGCAGCCATGATCCAAAGCTCGTGACCATAGACGAGGGTCGGAACAGAAACGAACAGGAAATACAGGAGCATTACTTCAGTTTAGACGCAGATCCATCCAATTATCTCGCGTCTATCTGACCAAACACACCAACATGACAAACTGCAGTTGGAGTGAAAACTTTTCCAGAGAGACTGAGAAGGTGATTCATTATTTCTGAGGTGAATCTCATCTTTTAATGTATGCTCGGCATGGGGCATACATTAAATAGTTAAATAGATTTTTGGTAATTTAAAGACTTAATTTATTTGTTTGTTGCATATTCAAAATTAATGTTTGTTTTAATCATGTTCTGTGAGGTGTCTGTTTTAAAAGAAAAAGAAAATCGAACAGTTTGTCTTTTTTTACGCCGGAGTATTGAGGCCACACTAAGAAAAAAATAGAAAAATGACATTTCGAGAATAAAGTCATAAAATTATGATAATAAAGTTGTCGTATTGCCAGAATAAAATCTATTAGCATTTTACCACAGGTGTAAGACTTCTTTCTCGTGTCGTCTCTTAATATTTTGACTTTTTATGACTTCATTCTCGTATTGTTTTGACTTTTTTTCTCGTAGAAACTTATTCTTGATATCATCCGACTTTATTCACGTACAAGTTTATTCTTGAATTATCTCAGCTTTTTTTTTTGCCGGTGCGACTTTACTCTCATAATTTTATGATTAGTTCTCATGATTTTTTTAAATACATATTTATATTCTTAGCATGGCTCTGATACTCCGTCGTACTTCTTGTTGTTGTTGTGTTTCTGTGCCATTGACGATATGAATAAGCCCACCTGGAGGCCCTGCGATCCGCCCGCCTCGCTGCACATTAACGCCTCTGAATGCCCTCGCCGAGCATGGCAGCGCCGCTGCCACCATGTGTTCACCTGCCTGGTCCTAATCGATATGCACTGTGTTCTCTGTTTTCTGTCTCTTATGCATGGTCCTCTCCCTTCACCCTCACCTTCCTCTTCCTCCCCTCCCTCCCCCCCTGCCCCCCCCCCCCCCCCACCCCCCGTGCATGGTGCACTACCTCCACCCAACCACCTACCCTACACCCCACAACCCTTCCCCGTCTCCCCCTCGCCATCACTGATTGGGCTGTATGTGTTGCTGCATGGCCTGTGGCCCCTCCCCCACACACCAGGACCACTCGGGCACTCTGGGCGCGGAAGAGTTCAAGGCCTGCCTGATCAGCCTGGGCTTCGATATCGCCAACGACGCGCAGGTATTTGATCGTAGCCACACTCCCGCAGTGCGAGGTTTAACTGAAGTTTTTTTTTTCTTTCTTTTCTCTCTTTTGCACTTTCCTCTGTTATCTCTCCATCCCTCTTATTACCTTTACTCTTCCTGTTTGAACTCTCTTCACTTTTTCCCCACCCTCTGCTTAAAAATCTTCTCACTCAAACCTTTCTTCTTCTCCTGGTTTCTTTTCCCTTCCCCTCCCTCTGCTGTACTTCTCCTCTCCTGCTGGTTTTGTTTGTCTGTCGCTGACCTTGTAGAAGAGAACAGGAATCATGGATGCAGAAGACTTCAAAACCTGCCTTATCTCCATGGGTTACAACCTGGTAAAGCATTGAGCACTCTTCAAGGATGAACATGTCTATGTGTGTGTGAGCCAGACCACTTGGAGTTGGTAATGGTTATAGATTTAATGAGATTTAAAATGAACAAAAAAGTGAACAACCTGGATGTCTTAGGGCTGCAGCTAATAATTATTTTAGTTATTGATTTATTCTGACGATTAATTGGATTTTAGAAAATTCCTTTAGTGAATGCTTGATCATTTGTAGCACAGGATGAATCTGCAGCTTAAAAAGCACTTCTAGCATCAACATGTGAGAGCACGTTCTTTTTGAGACCGTATTCTTCACGCAACGATTAATCGGTTGATAAATTATTTCAGTAATCGATTAATCACAATTTAGCTAATTTATTGTTTCAATCTTGTGTTAAATTATGTAATTTTCTGAAGAATTCTTCTTTTACATAGATGAAAATCTCTTCATCACAACCCGAAGTTTAAGGTGTAAATTCTCCGCCGTGTTTATGCACTTTGATTTTCCAGTTTTTGCGTGACATCGTCCGACTATCGCTGCTTTACCGTGACCTGTCTGTCGCCACTAGGGGGAAAACGAGTTCTCCCGCATCATGAGCGTAGTGGACCCCAACAGAATGGGCATCGTCACCTTCCAGGCCTTCATAGACTTCATGTCCCGCGAGACGGCCGACACCGACACGGCCGACCAGGTCATGGCGTCCTTCAAGGTTCTCGCTGGGGACAAGGTACGGCACTGCGGAGCTGCTCAGAAAACCCAATAAGCCCCCGCAGTACAACCAGATATCAATAGAGAGAAGAGATTAGTGAGATTTTATGTGACAGACCAACTCAAAATGTAAAGTGGAAAGGAAATAAAGTGGTTAATTTTTCTTAATTTGTCTGCAAAGTATGACATGCGTTTCTATTTATCCCCCCCAAATTAATATATTGCAGATTGTTGATCAGCCAGAAAACTGCAATCTGCGCACTGCAATGGAAGTTATGATAAATTAGTGTTTTTTGAGACTATATATCAATAATAACGTAATAATGCAAATTCACTGTCTCAAAGACCAATAAGCTTACATTTTGCAAAGAACTATAGAAGCACTAGAGCTGGATGACACATTAAATACTAAAAAATGCAATGCAACAACCAAAAACTATAAATAAAATGGATGCAATGAATCTACTGGACATAATCTGACATGACAAAACTGAACCTCGGTTTTTCCCGACTCTCTGCAGAACTACATCTTGGCTGACGAGCTGCGTCGCGAGCTGCCCCCAGACCAGGCCGAGTACTGCATCGCGCGCATGGCCCCCTACACGGGCCCTGACGGTGTCCCCGGAGCCCTGGACTACATGTCCTTCTCCACGGCTCTGTACGGGGAGAGCGACCTCTGAACACTGGCGTCGGGCGTCCTGACCCGGGACCATCCTCCCCCCTCTCCGTTCACCGCCACGTGCTCCGACTCGTCTCCAGCCTCCTGTCCAGCTGCGCTCATTTTGTTTTTTCTTTTCTTTTTTGTACGTTTCAGGCCTTATCTTTTTGTCAGTATCTTCCGTCACCTCTCACCTGACCGGCTTCGTCACCGCTCCTTCCTCCCCTCCCTTGGTCCGTCTTTGTTGTTTGCTTTTCATCGCAAAGCAGCGACTCTCCAGGTTTACATAGAGGGAGAGATAAAATGTGTTTTGTTTTTGTCATTGATTTTCTTCAGAAAAATGAATAAAGTTAACATATTTTATTATACTGAACAAAAAAAAAGGTATTTTTCTTCACCTGGTTAAATAAGAGACGAAAAATTGTAATAAAGAAAAAAAAAACACGTCTGTACTTTGTCGGTTTTTTATACAAGAACACATTGTATGTGTGTGTGTGTGTTTGTGATAAAAGAGTACACGCACTCATGAATTAATCATTTGAAAATTGCATTTTGTATCATATCAGGCAGCAAAAACAGAAGAAACCTGGTTTACTGGTTCAACAGGATATAGATCCTGTTAGGGTTTGATCAAGTTAATGTCCAGAACCAAATCCAATTGAAAATTTGTGGCAATATTTGAAAAGTGATGGTAGCTACCATCAGGCTCAGTCACATCCAATGTGGCTATTTTACAAATGAGAATAGGCAAAAAAATAAATAATAATAAAATTATCAGTTTGTACATTTGCAAAGCAGCTGGAAGAACAATTGAAAAACACTTCTTGAAATGAAAACTAGATTTGAAAAACACATCACTTTTTTCCACTGCACATTTCTGCACTCTTCTGTACTGGTGTTTCACATAAAAGCTACAAAAATACATTGAAGTTTTTATTTCCTACATTGGTGAATGTGAAAGTCTAAATCTGTGCATTTCCATTTTGGAATGAAACATTTCCTTTGTGCAACAATAATAAATTTTAAAAAACTCATAAAGTGATTTGATGACGCATATATAATTTTGTATGCGAAGCTGATATTTACTAACACACAGGTCCAAAATTCAGCGAAAGGGCAACAATGGGAACTAATATTCTTAAAGTTGTATCTATCCGGAAGATTTTGCTGCCGGACACAGAAAATCGCTTCCTCAGTTTTGACCTGTTCACCGGTGACAACAAAGGGTCATGTAGCTGAACAGAGACGTCATGTTTAGTTGGAAGACACTGCAGAGAAACAAAACCTTCAAGTATGGAGTCCCTATGCTGGTAAGAGTGATCTGGTCTGACGTCAGGAGATGTTACGCACGTGAACAGGTTGTGTTAGCAGTTAGCATTTACATAAATCTGCAGCTCTCTTTTAACACAGACAGAAATTTATTAGACGCGTTAACTCATTATTTTTCCGGTTTAGTATAGTAACATTTGATATATCTGTATTTTTTGACGGCATGCTGTGTCCTTTAGCCAAAGTGACCTTATGTAAAACTGCGGGGTGTAACTTTGCATCGTTATGTGTGTTTAAAGCAGTCGGCTATTAATGCCTGTTTGAAAAAAAAAAGAAAAACTAGTTTTGCATCACCATTGTAGCAATTCTAGTCAGTAATTGTCAACGTAAAAGTCACTAAAATGACTTTTTCGAATTGATTTTTTTTTTCGCTTTTTATACGTGTAAAAAACCCGAAAACGTTTTCATGCTGGACAGCTCCATGCATGATCTGAGTTTGGACCGAAACCAGAATGACAGCCCCACTCGCTCTTTGTTTGTGTCTTTCTTTCAGCTGCTGGTCATTGGTGGCTCCTTTGGCTTGCGGGAGTTTACTCAGATCCGTTACGATGCCCAGAAAATCAGAAAGCGGGTTTGTACCGAGATAATCTTCATTTAATTTCTCACGCAAAGAGAAAACTTCAAGACAGAAGGCCTGTGCAACACCGTTACCAGCGTGTGTACTCCTCCTAGTGGCTAGAGCTGAAACTGCAGCGTCTCGGTGTGCAGATTCGTGTGGCTAAATTCAAGCGAGGTCAGATCAAGTAGGGTTTTCCTATTTTATCTCTAAATAAGATTCGAAAACATTACAAGTAAATGAGGCTTGTTTGCTCGCAGTTCTGGTTATTGTTTATTCATCAGTGTTTTCTGAGGTAAGGTCTTTAATATTGAGGTAAGGTCATTTGAAATTTAGCATATTGATCATGTCATCAACTAGCATCACATTGTCCTCAACTGAATTTTAGTGTGGATGAGCTTTCAACAAACCTGCTCTTGTTTGAATATGTTTTAAAATGTTGTTAGCAGAAAGCAAAGTGAGTGTAGGAAACTTGGATAGGAAATTTAAGTTGAGACACTATACTAACTAGTACTAGTTCTACTAGTAGATCATTTCACTGAAAACATGGATTATAAGATTATAAGGCTTCTGACATGGAGGTTTCATTGTTTAGTATTTTTCTTGGATTTCTCATTATAGAAGATTTTGTTAATATAGAAGAGGATTCTATGAATTGTCTATTGTGTTTTAAAAGGAAGTACTCCCTCTTAATTGAAAACTGCAAAACGAAGTGAAAATAGGATAAATTCATCAATGAACCCCTGATATTTAGGAGGTTCCACCTTTTACAACGTTAAAAAAAAATACAAGGCTACAGAGTGAAAAGCAAAGTAATATTTCACAAAATAACAACCAATTAGTTAAAACAATGATTATGTAACCAGAAGGCGTTATGATCTGGCACTCAGTGCCCGCTGTCGCTCTGCCGTGGGCCTTGTTTCTGTGGCTCCCCTCTACTCTTTCTCACACACACACACACACACACACACACACACACACACACACCTTTTGCGAAGGTGAGTGCAGCACACGGACTCGCTCCAAACTCCCGCGGAGTCCAACTTCGCCTCCGCGTGTGTGGCCGCGCATGTGATTTAATGCGCTGAATATTTAAAGAGCGGAGACAAGGCGCGTTATTAAAAGCACTCTTACGATTTTTGCTTGCGTTGGTATCAGCTGATTACATTAGCCGGCTCTCTCTCAGACATCACATATGCTGAAACCACAGTCAGAGATTAAGTCCAGTGTGATTAAATTTGCATTTTGTCTTCAGTGATTTAATTTAGCCTGCAGGCTGGGATGAACTTCAAGGCTTTCATTCCTTGCTGAACTTTTTTACCTTTTATTGGCTTCATATTTGAGATGTTTTTGTATAAAGTACAGCTATTATACTGTTAATAAGATACTAATTTTTAAGGCTATTAATCCTCTAGTTTGACAGCTGGAAAATATTCTTTAAATAATTTATTAGCCGTGGTGTTGTAGGTCTAATTAGTCGGTCTTGGAATAGCAAAACTCATCTGTCACACACAGAAAACCCTCGGCTTTGTTACAGTGACATATTATGAACTCATTAAAAGTGATCCTCGTTTTGGACCCGCTCCTGACCAACGTCCTTTTTAATTGCAAAGTCCTGAACTTTTGACCACAAAAATAAAACTCTAAATAAAATCAAACTTTTATTATAGTTCTTTGTTTTGTCAAACCTTTTCAGATTGATGCTGAATCAATCAACTTATAAGGCAAATATAATAAATAGGTTCTTAATTTTGTTCTGACCCAAGTAACCTGGTTCTTTGCGAACTTGATAACTTGATCAATTTGATTGGCAGTCAATCAATTAGATGGTCAGATAACATCTCAATGAATTATTTTTAGCTTAACATGCATTCAAAAATTATGATTGTGAAACATGATAAAAAATGATTGGATTTAAACTTTTTTTTTTTATCTGACCAGAGTACCATCTCCTACATATCCACTGTGCCTCCAACATAGCTTGTGGCAAACGTCCATTATTTATTTAATTTTTTTTACCATCTTCTTCTGACTCTTCCAATTTATCAAATATATGTCCAGTTGAAAGAGCCTTGAACGTCTACCATCTTCATCCACTATTTACTCTTGGTCTGTTAAATACGCAGACGTGTGGCTGTAAAGGGACAAAATGGTAATAAATGGTTCTGCTGCTACGAAGAAACCTTTCCAGTTTTCATATGTTGTTTTTGAAGAAAATAGTCAAAGTTACCAGAGGAAAGCCTTACAGCAGAAATCTGCGACAGGAACAATAAAAACTGTCTCTCACTGTTTTGTCTTCCTGTCATCTTGCAGTTGGATCCTTCACTGGAGGCGAAGGTGAATCTGGAGAAGCAGGCCGTCATCCTGGAGGACGAGTATGAGGTAAGAGACGCTGGGGACGGCACGGCGACCAACACTCACCCGGATTAGCATCACAGTCAGAAAGTGAAAGTGATATATATATGAAGTCTAGTGTGGCGTCTGAAAAGTTTAATCTGTTTTTTAGTAGTCGAAAAACTTCCGTCCTGAAGTTAAAAAAAGAAAAGGTAGTTCATCCTTTTCTGTTTGTGTTTCCTTCCCAGAAGTTGAAGGAGATTAATTTGGACGAGTGGAAGAACATCCGTGGTCCCCGTCCCTGGGAGGAGTCCAGGGAGTACCAGGAGCAGCAGCGCAGCAATCTGAGTAAAACACACTGAGGCTCCGGCCCGAGCCCACCGCACGCGCTCACACAGACGCACAAAGATCACACCAGACAGCACAGGGGCCCGTGGAGACGGCGGCACCGATGTCTGGCCGTTCCGGACGCTGCGGCTCCGGAGCTCTGAGCACAGCTTGTAAGCCCTTGGCTCGCGTCGGGGCCCAAATCTTTGGAAAAGTTCATTTTGGAGAAAATCATGTTGGTTTCTTCTGGCTGCAACACCTTCAGGACTACTGGTGAAAAGTTTTTGCTTTTAAAATATTGTGGCGGACACAAACATATATATTGTACGTCAGGCTGTAGGCCCTTATTGTGAAGGGGAGAGAGCAGAAATGCAGAGCGTGTTGTTCTGTTCAAGGTTTTGTTTTGTGGTTGGAAGACATTGAGAATAAAGCAAGACTCAAAATGGTTTTTATCTCTTTTTGCTGATTTCCATATTGGTGACCTGATCATGATGTCAACCATATACTTTTTTTCTGAAAAAACTTGCCCAGGATGCTTTTTTTCCTCTTCTACAAAAGAAAATTAAATTCTGGAACCATCAGTTGAAAAGTGAAATAACCACATCTGTCCTTTTGAAATATGGATTCAGAGAGTAGGCCTTTCTACATGATTCATGCTTTCTTTGTAGATCGGAGATGCTGACTTCAGGATTCTTTCAATAATTCAAATATATTTCATGAAGACTTAATGAACACAAGAAATATAAACTAAAATTTCATCCTCAGATTAGAGAAATCCACAAAAACTAAACAGTCACTGAAATGTGTAAAGGACAACAGAGAAGGAGAGGCAAGAAAACTCTCTCTCTCTCTCTCTCTCTCTCTCTCTCATTTCATATCTATCTATAAATAGACGGCCGCCTGGCAGCTGAGGGGTAGTCCGCGCAGAACAAATGCAGCCTCTGGCTGTTTCACTTCATTCCCCACATAATGAGCCAGACGGAACAAGCGCAGATCACCGCCGTCACTTCCTCTCTCAGCCACCGAGCCAGAGAGGCAAGGGCCACACGTTGCCATGGAAACGTGGCTGCTGGGCGGAGGCGAGGAGGTGGAGGGTGGAGGCAGCTCTGCACACACACACCGAGACCCCCACTTACAGAGAGACAGACCAGGCAGACAGAGACAAACAGACAGACAGAGACAGACAGACAGGCAGACAGAGACAGACAGACAGAGACAGACAGACAGACAGACAGACAGACAGACAGGCCTTGCTGTCTCTAGATGTGAGTAGAGGAGCTCCAGAGTCCTGAACTGCCTCCCAGATGCAGTGGAGTCGGTGTGGGTGTGCGCGCTCACTCTTCGGAGGCAAACATCAGTCTTTGTGGCTCTCATCTGAGCTGAGAGCGCATACGTCGTGAACAGTCCGGGCCGGCGAGCTGGTGGCCATGTTCTCCTTTAGCATCGTTGCTTCCCGGGGAGGGTGTCTGAGGTCAGGGTTTTTAACAGCCTCTGTTGTGATTGTGTCTTCAGCAACAGTGGGACAGTGCAATGCAATGGAAAAGCTAGGGGCTGACCATTCTGTCGATTATTCTGATAATTAATTGAGTGAACAGACAAAAGAAATAGCATATTCTAGCCACTTAAGTTTATACCAAATTAAAATACAAAACATTATTTCATGCCCTAAAATGCAATAAGTTACGTTCTTTTAGTGTACGCTCAATCATTTGTATTAAATAACAGATCTGCGGCTGAATAAATAGTCAAATAAATACGTCTGTTTCACTTCACATATCTATAATGTTTAGTGCTGATCTATAAACTATTGTTTTCAATTAACTAATTCATAGCATAATAAGATGCCAAAGGGTAATAGAATCACTTTGTAGAATTTAAATAGGGTGAAGCTAAAAATAACACCACTTGAGAAGTTCTGGGTTGAAAATATGTTTAAAAAAGTTGTTTTTTTCATCTAAAATACAAAATTTCTATAGTTTCTGTGCAGTTTTGGGTTGATTAGTGTTTTGAATGTGGGGTTAATTCAGCAAACGGCGCATTTCAGAGTTAGTCACAATAGAACGGTTCATATCAAAACACAAAGCAGCAAATGCAATGCAGTCAAGTTTGATGTTTGTGGTTCTTCTCTGTGGTGTGGCTACAGTGAAAGTGCTGCTTTATTTGCATATGTGCAGAAAAGAATTCACATGCATTTTATCTGTTGCTGCATTGAAGGTTTTTGATCCAGAATAAGACGCGGGCCGGCTAATGTCTTGTTTTTCTCTTTAATTGTGGCACAACGAAACTGTCCACAGCTCTGGTTGGCAAACCTCACAACAATCAACAAGTTCGAGACGAAACAACGTGGAAGACGTGAAGCGAGTCCAGCTGGCCTAAAAATATTCTCCTGCCTTAAATCCGGGTCAGAGACTGTATTCAATCTACAGACTCAGAATCAAGTCAAACCTGACTCAGAACTTTTTTGGATTTGGCCTCCATCTTCATGCTGAAAATCTCGTTTAGAGGAATTATTATTATGATTATTATTATTATTTTTAAAACAAGCAAAAGTCTCCAAAACAGTGGAGCTGAGAGGGAAGCTACCACTCCAGCCGTGAAGGACTGGAGGAAGCTGAGAGGAAGTGTCCTCTGTGATCTGGATGATGCTCCCCTTCAGCCGGGCCTTCCCTTCATGAAGGTAAAATCGCGCGTCTCTACGCTCCTTGCTCTTTTCATTCCGGCTTCTCGGAGAGGGGTCGTGTTGTTTTGCTCTCTGTCTCACACACACCCTCCCCCCCCCCACACACACACACACACACCACACCTTCGCAGGGCGCTGCAAACACTCTCCAGTGACAGCAAATGGGCCCTGGGGTCTGAGGTCCTTTAATCGTGATGCGAGGCGACTCTTTACCTTTCTTCTTTCACAGCTTCACTATTCATTACTGACCGCTGTAAGTGGACGTGGCTCAGGGGTGATGTCAGGATCAGAGCGCCCACCTCCACCACCTCCACCTCCACCACCACCTCCACCTCCTCTCCTGGCCGGGGACTCGCATCCACCGGCTGCTGTTATTATTATGTTTTTTCCTGCTGAAGTGATTGCAGCTTCAAAATGATCAGCATGCATAAAGTAACCATGTGCTGTAGGGAGAGAGAAAGAGAGAAAAATACTAAATAAATACACAAAATGACAAAATGCTATTTACTGCTTTATATTCTCCACATGATTGGGCAAAAAGTTTAACTCAGTTCAATTCAAAAATACTCCACTGACCCCAAACTCTTCATAGAGGAAAGGTTTCTATTTAAAAAGTCTTTTTTTTTTCATAATGCACCATTTTCAGTCCACTATAGAGCTATAGTGAATAGAAAAATGCACATTTCTTTCCCTTTTCTTACGTCTCTTTAATGAACTCGCCATCGTCTGCAGCAGAGGTTGCATCTGAAAACTATTCTAACATCAACATGTGAACAGCTCAGCCCTTTCTGCTCGACTTCAACGTAGTGTAAGGCTGAGCTGGTGTTTTTTTTGTTCTTTTTGGATTAACTGATTAATATATTGGATATTACAATTTTTGTGCTTCATCATTTGAACCATCATTAAAACCGACACCGGAGGAGTTCCGGGCGGAACATGTTCACAGTGTGAAAGGTTTTCTTTTTTTTATCTTGAATGCAAAATGTACGTTTTTATTCAGTTTTGGCTTTGTTACTGCCGCAGGCGTGTTGTTCTTTCAGCAAACAGCTTTCTTTAATGATTAATTGATGACTAAATCAGTTGACGATTATTTCAATAATCGATTAATCGCGATTAAATTTACCATTCCAGTCACAAACACAACCGCAGTGTGATGTACTCTGATGAAAGAAGCGAGAATCGGTCAAGAACTCCAATCATATCCAGTCATACAACGCAGGCTGGACATAAATCTATCCGGAGTGTAAACAGCTGTCACATTCCTTCACTTAGATATGAAAACTTCATTAAGAAAAACCCAATTATATCCAGACATGAGGAGCCTGACCGGACCGGCTCATCATGCACTCTGCCCACTGGGCGAGTGATTGTTGACGACTTCCCTACTCACAAGCATACAAATCTGAACAAGTTATTAGGATTCTGTAATACAGTGCCGGGCTGTGTCATTAAAAATCGGAGCCAATTGATTTTTCCCGCTTTCCAAAGGAAAACGGGACTCACCGAGCGGGACGGGCCGTCGCAAGTCTCACTGCGTTGCTCCAGAAACAAATTAACAACCGTCCATTATTTATCAGGAACTAATTATTTCAAAAGGCTTTTAAAAATTGGAATTAATTTTGCATTGGGTTTGGTTTTACCCTGGGAGGTTTTTTATTTTGTTTTTTTTTTTGTCTGACATCTCAATTAGAGGAGAAAATGCATCTCAGTTTGAAAAGGGAGGTCAGGCCTTGTTGGCCGTTTGGACGCAGGAGCCGTAGTCTGTGGCATCCGCAGAACATTTTCATGGCAGTGGACAGACTGGGCCAGTAAATACATAAATAAAATATATACTTTCAATAAATACATAAATTCCTACTGATTTTAAATATTTATTGATATATTTATCCGGCTTTACATTTTTATATGTATGTTTTTGATAGAAGGAGATCACTGTATGCCTTGTGTTCCCCTGGATTTTCCCGGCAGCCTTTAGGGTGGTCAGCGTTTTTTCCCAGATGGGGCTGTGGCCCCCCCTTGGGAACGCCACTGTGTTATTTACTATAATCTGCAGGCGGCTGACCCAGTATTCTTCTTCTTCTTTCATGTGTTTATTTTAGCATCAGAGTTGAAAGTCTGACTCTCCTCCCCTCCCTCTCAGTTTTTGGGTTGCTGGCTTCTCTCGCTCAGCTGATGGTGACGTAGCTGCGTGGAATCGGAAGAGTGATTTTTATTTATTTATTTATATATTTACTTATTTTTATTCGACCAGAGAAGAGCTGTGAGTGTGTATGCGTGTGTGCGTGCGCGTGTGTGTGTACATGCGTGTGTGTGTGCGTGTATGTGGGTGTGTGTGCGTGTGTTTGGGGGGGAAACCATTTCACACGTTTAACGCGTGAGGGTACACGGCTCGGGCTTCTCAACAGAGGATGACAATCCACAGGAGGAAACACGCACACACACACACGAGCGCACGCAACCCGGCGGTCCTCTCTCAGATGCGCAAAGTACGCTTCGCCGAGGTGCGCAACCTCCAGCAGCGCGCAGCTCTGCGCGGCAACTTCGCCGAACACGCAGCGGGTGAAGAACTGCGGTCGTTAACAGGGTATCGATTGCGGTTTGTCACCGGCGCTTGAAAGCCAGGCTTTTCCTCCACGTCCGCGGGAGAGGCGTCATCATTTCCGACGCTGTCGCGGAGGAGAGGAGAAGGAGGAAGAAGAGGAGCAGGAGGAGGAGGAAGAAGAGGAGCAGGAGAGCGCTGATTCACGGCTTGCAGGAGGAGGCAGAGACGCTCGGACGGGCTCAAGAAGGAGGAGGAGAAGAAGGGAGAGGCGGAGGAGGAGGAGGAGGAGATCCATCTCCCACCCAGCGTGCGGTCCTAAAATACCGAGCCACTCGCCTCCTCCTCCCTCGTTACTGACAGCCCCGCTACCCACCGGCCCCGTCCTGTTCCGGCCGGGGGAGGATTCCGGGGAGGAAGGGCGCCACGGCAAGGAGAAGACGAAAGGCGATCGCCCTCCCCTTTGGCCCGGTTCGATCCGACACATTCGGCAGCACCGTGGGCAGGCCGGGGGGCGCGAGGGGGTGCGTGGGGCGGGGGACGGGGATGGGGGGGGGGAGGACCCGCACGCTCCCTCTTGTTCATGAGGACGACACGGCAGCCTCGCGGTGGGATCGTGGTGCGCGGATTATTTTAGGACCAGCTCGGCGAAAACAACAACAACAACAACAAGAAGAAGAAGAATCAGAAGACTAATAGTAATAAGAATAAAGGGGGCGGACGGGAGCTGCTGAGCTGTCTCTACATAAACTCACTCACATACAGATCCAGGTGAGTAATAATGAACACGCAGCCGTGCAAAGTGATACACATTAAAATAATCATAATAACAAAAAATTAAATCAATGTTTTCTAGATGCACATGTAGAAACGATCACATTAGAGAGTGATGATGATGATGATGAGGGTGGTGGTGGTGATGATGATGATGATCTGAGCTGGATGTACTCCATCAGCCCGCACGCGCTTTCAATCTGACCATCAAGCTGCAGACGTGATCCGTTACAACCGAACCGGCTCGGATGGATTCGTGATATTCTGTCTAAATGGGTGGGACAGTCAAATAACTCAGAGAAAACTGGAGTTTTTATTTTTATTCATTTATTTCATCATCATCATCATCATTATTATTATTATTATTATTAATATTATTATTAATTCATTGTCTGCGCTTCTCCTAGTTGATGGGAGAGAACACACACACGCACACACACACACACACACACACACACACACACACACACACACACACACACACACACACACACACACACACACACACACACACACACACAGAGGCCTGCCTGCATCCTATAATTGGCTAAGTTACGGTGCGGACCTATGGGTGCTCCAGCAGGGGGATTCCCCCCTCCCTTCGTGGAGGCGATGGCATCCGGCCCTCATGATGATTAATCAGCGACAGCTGAGGCTCTCGGTGTGTCTGCTGAGTCCATGTTTACGCGCGTCTCAAATAGCCTCTTTAAACGAGACCCACCTCCCAAAATAGGGTGAAATGGTGGTGATGGTGATAGTGGTGATGGTGGAAGGAAGGGATCTGCGCGCAGATCGCGCCGCTCGGAGCCATGGAGCAGTATGCCGAGCGCACAGCGACCTCTGGAACATGAGCATAAATCAGTCAGATAAATACATGCAAACAGCTAATAGTGGCTGTCTGAAGTTACACATTGGTGTACCGGCTTCATTTGGGTAGGTACCGGTGAAAAGTGTGAAAGGAAAATGTAGGGATGTAGTTTTAGCAGCTCGAAATAAATCTTTTAGATTCCAGAAATGTTTAGAATGTGCTTAGGCTACAAATTTATATGAAGTCTGACTGTATATGCACTTTTAATTAGGTTTTTGGCAGGAGTCAGTTATCAGCAGTGGCAGGCTTTAACATGGGTCAAATGGGCAGTTGCCCAGGGAGGCAGTAGAAGAGGGGCGGAGATGTATATTTCTACTGCTATTGTGCACATGCAGAGTGGGATCAATATGGTCTTTTCTACTTTTAAACTTTAATGTAAAAGTATATATATATATATATATATATATATATATATATATATATATATCATGATTATAGAGGCAGTCAGCGTTGAGTTGGCGTTAAGTTGTACAGACGTTCTGTCTCCCATTTGTTGCTATGCTGCTGGAAAACTGGCTGAAAGAATGCTCCTTTACTTTTCTTACACTTTCACTCTGAATTTACATCCAGTAAGCTCTGAGCTGGTCAGCTAGCTCTTCTTGCTGAAATGCGGTGGATTGACATCCAGCTTTTAAAAGGTTTGGTGTGAATTTAAAGCTGCCGCAACAGCAGGACAACATTGGTTATTTATGACAGCCACCTTGCTCCCCTCACTGCCTGCCTGCCTGCTACTGATTGCTTGCTTTTTTTTGTCTCTGTGACACGTTCAAAACTGGCGATTCTGTTTTATAAATCAATCTTACTTTAAACTTCTCCACATTTTTGTCCCCATATGTTTATCCTTATGTTGAGATTAAATTACACGCGAGGAGATCCTATTTACCAACAAGGCACCTGAAGTTGCAGTGGATTTTATTTATGGGTGCTTGCATCAAAGAGGACGATGCCACACTTTTCAGCTTCCATTTAGTCATTATTTTGAAGCCGTTTTACTTCCTCTTGACAATCGTGCACTGCTTTGTGTTGGCCTGTCATTTAAAATCCAAATGAAACTAAAGGCAAACTATAAAAAATAAAAAAAATTGTGAGAGCATCAACAGTAAATACAGCAAAATGGATGAAACATTATCTAACTCAGTCATCCAATCAGACAGTTGGTGGCTCCTGACAATCTGAGTGACTGTTAGAGTTAACTTGTTGAAGTCCGGTTCCGTTTATACAAAAACACACATTAGATTCTGATTATGGTTTATAACGATAGCAATAACTGAGAAAGATGTCAAAGGAAATGATCTTATTTCTGCAGCTGCACCGACTTTCAGCTCTGTTCTCATTGCTTTTATTTTTTCCAGCAAAAAAAAACCCCAACAAAAAACCCAAAACCATTAATTGGACCCTGCTTTTAAAACAGATGGACGGGAATAACATAAGACTGCTGCGTAAAGGTCAGTTTGGTGACCCATTTTAATCCTTCCCATTCTGACTTTGCATCACATTAAGAGGCCGTTTCTTTTCTGTCACAGTCAGTAAATACACACTGCGTTCCAAGTACGTTTGCAGGTCTGTCATCATTATTAATTACAAATCCAACAAGAATCCGACGTGGTGATATTGCATCATTGTCTGAATATTGTCTGAATATTGTTACTATTGTGATGCTGAGCACACTGCGTTTCTGTCAAAAAGCTGCAATATAACCATTGTGTGTTTTCAGTTGTTTCTCTGTGGCTTTATTGCAGCGTCTGCATCACCTAATAAAAGCAGGTTTGCGAAGAAGCAGGCCGGTCAGCGTCACCGTTACCCACTGCCTCTCAGTGCCTTCTGCTTCTCTGAAAGTAGTGCTTGAGGAAAACACAGTGCCTTCGTTTTATTCTGATCACTTTCCAGGAAGTAAACAAACATTTCCTTTTATGCGAAATTCAACCTTTGCTTTAATTAATAAGTCACACCTCATTCACACGGTTCCTCCCCTGTTGTGCTTGTTTGTGCTCTGCACTGCTGATTCTCTCAGGGATTGTATAGCTGGCTGCAGTCCACGGTGATGGCTCTGCTGATTCAGGAAAATATAAGTTCCTCGTCTCCAGCATGGGCTGCAATTCACTGTCATTCTTTTGTTTCCTCCTCCTGGTGTGTATATTGAAATCTACCATCAAAATCTAAATCTAAATAATCAGGCATAACTGAGGTGACAGTCTTTGTGATAAATCCCAGCCGTTCGAATGTGCATTGAGTTCAGGATGATCAAGTGTTCATTACTCTCCCCCTGCCACTGGCTTCAGCCGTTAGCATTAAAAGAAGAGTGAAGATTTTACTGTTAAGGGTCTTGGAAGTGCATTAGATGCTTTGATTGAGCTTTTTTGAATTTGGGCAACGTCTGAACTGTTCTCGGAAGACTTCTTTCCTATTGTTGACTTAAGTTTCAGTGTGTCTTTTGATGAGCTTTTGTGTTTCTGCTGGTTGTCACGCTCTCACAGTTGGGACAGTTCTTCACTGCTGAGTGAGTCATTTTCTTCTGAGCCGAGTGCTATCCCAGAGATTTCAAATAATAAGCACCACTGGATGCATACGCCTGACTCAATTAAACTTTGTCCACGAAATATTACTTTGAGGTCAAAAAATTGTGTGTGAAGACCTTCATTTTCTATCTCACTGGTAACGTCTAGTATTATATTCAACACTGAATTTGGGTTGAATTTCTCAAATATTCACAGATCCTGAACTTTTTCACAATCTATCACATTTGATCTCTTTATTGGCGACAAAACGATAGAGCATCTAGAAGAGAAATGGGAAGTTGAATAAAAAAGAATTCATACAGTGTTTTCCAATTGTCTTTCCAGATAAACCTGAGAAGTGATATCCACATGTATTTAGCCCCTTCTACTTGCTTCCTCCTAAGTAAAACCCAGTTTTTCTCCATTGGCTTCAGAAATCCCCTAACTAGTCAATAGAGTACATTTATGTATAATTTGTTCTCACTATAAGCATAGCTGCTATGTGTTAGATAAAACTGGTGGACTAGTGGTTTCTTGAAACTGGAAGCAATAAAAACCAAGACGTGGTTGTCTTGGTCTTGGTGCAAAGGGCAAAGATTTAGAAGAATGGTTAGCTGTGCTCTCTACAAATTTGCCGTTCATGGAAGTGTAAAATAAACAAAATACACGCGATGTCTCCATTGCAGTTTGCTAAAGGTAGTGTAGGAAACAGGAAAGATGTAGATGTAGATCACTGTGTGCGGCCAGATATTAAGATTTTCAGCCTGCAAGCAAAACTGTTGGTGTCACTCTCAACACGCACCAATAGGGAAACACAATGATGGCAACATCATTGACACAACACAGAAGTTGGTCAGAACTGATGGGAAGGAGCTAAATACAAGCCAATACTGAAAAAAAAACCCAAGTCTCAAGATGTTGATAGTTCAAAGGCTTGAGATTTAGGTTTGCCTGACAACTGGACAACAAGCCTAAACATACAGCAAAAGCTGCAACAGTTGAAATCAAAGCCTTTTAATCAAGAATCTGCGGCAATACGAGAGAATTCCTTCTCTCTGGCACTCTTTGTTCAATCTCAATTCAGTCAATAAATACACACTGCATTCCAAGTAAGTGTGCAGGTCTGTAATCATTATTACTTACAAATCCAACAAGATTCCAACGTGGTGATGTTGGTTCATTGTAGTTGTCTTTGTCTGAATGTTGTTACTATTGTGATGCTGAACACATTGCATTTCCATGCAAAAACTGCACTATAACCATGGTGTCTTTTCTGTTGTTCCTCTTTGGCAGGTGGTGGGTGGAAAAAAGAACAGACCAGTGCTGGATCCCAGAGGGACTGTTAGTGTTGCAAGGCCCCTTAAGACGAAGAAGGGTGCATGGAGGGTTCAAGGCCTCTCAAACTAGGGACATCAGCCTGCCTCTGGTTGGGGCTGGTCTCTGTGGCTGTAGCTTTCCTTTGTACAGAGGCCCGGACTACTCCCAGCCCTTTACTCAGCCCCAACAATGCCACCTGCAAGGGCAATTCAAAATGTCAAACAGGGATCATCCTCCCCATCTGGTATCCCGAGGATCCGTCCATGGGAGACAAGATTGCTCGGGTCATAGTCTATTTTGTGGCCATGATCTACATGTTTCTTGGTGTGTCCATCATTGCCGACCGTTTCATGGCAGCCATTGAGGTCATCACCTCCCAAGAAAGAGAAATTGTCATCAAAAGGCCCAATGGAGAAACAACGACAACCACAATTCGGGTGTGGAATGAAACAGTTTCCAACCTTACTCTCATGGCCTTAGGCTCATCTGCCCCCGAGATTCTGCTCTCTGTGATTGAAGTTTGCGGTCATGAGTTCAAATCTGGTGAACTTGGTCCATCGACAATTGTTGGCAGCGCAGCCTTCAACATGTTTGTCATCATTGGCCTCTGTGTGTCCGTCATTCCCCAAGGTGAAGTGCGCAAGGTCAAACACCTGAGAGTTTTCTTTGTCACTGCAGGCTGGAGTATCTTTGCTTACATCTGGCTCTACATGATCCTGGCTGTTTTTTCTCCTAATGTAGTCCAGGTCTGGGAAGGCCTCGTCACACTATCCTTTTTTCCCATATGCGTCCTACTCGCCTGGGTAGCAGACAGACGACTGCTCTTCTACAAGTTTATGCATAAGAAATATCGCACTGACAAACACAGGGGTGTGATTATTGAGACAGAAACAGAACGCTCCAAAGGGATTGAGATGGACGGCAAGATGGTCAACTCTCACTTCATGGATGGAAGTGCAACCAGCAATCTGATTGGCTTGATTGAGAGCAAAGAGGTAGATGAGTCCCGTCGGGACATGATTCGGATCTTAAAGGACCTAAAGCAGAAGCACCCAGAGAAAGATCTTGATCAGCTGGTTGAGATGGCTAATTACTACGCTCTCTCACATCAGCAAAAGAGCCGTGCCTTCTACCGTATCCAGGCCACTCGAATGATGACCGGCGCTGGGAATATCCTGAAGAAACATGTAGCAGAACAAGCAAAGAAGAGTGCCAGTGTGCAAGAGGTGCACGTGGAGGAACCCGAAGAGTATGTGTCTCGGATAGCATTTGAGCCTGCTGCCTACCAGTGCCTTGAGAACTGCGGTGCTGCCATCCTGACTATCACCAGAAAGGGTGGTGACATCAACAAGACGATCTACGTGGATTATAAAACAGAAGATGGCTCGGCTAATGCTGGAGCAGACTACGAGTTCACAGAGGGCACAGTGGTGTTCAAACCAGGGGAGATCATCAAAGAAATAAGCATTGGCATCATCGACGATGACATCTTTGAAGAGGACGAGCACTTCTTTGTGCGTCTCAATAATCTTCGGGTCTTGGAAACTGAAGACGAGGTGTTGTCTGCCAACAGTCTCCCATACCCAAAGGCCACCCTAGGATTTCCCACTGTGGCTACGGTGACTATACTGGATGACGATCATTCAGGCATTTTCACCTTTGAGAGTAGCTCAGTTCACGTCAGTGAAAGCATCGGCATTATGGAAGTGAAAGTGCTGAGGACTTCTGGAGCAAGGGGAACTGTCATTGTGCCTTATCGCACAGTGGAGGGACTTGCCAAAGGCGGAGGGGAGGACTTTGAAGACACCTATGGAGAACTTGAGTTCAAAAACGACGAGACCTGGTAAGAAGAATCCTCTTCTTTTTGTAGCAGTTAGTTTTCTATGAAGTATTATTGGCTCATGTTCGTTGGTCAGTGGCTGATTATTACGAATCAAGGGTTTTAGATCTAAAATACAATGTGTTTTGGACTCATAATTAACTAATATAACTTGAGAATTATTTCTTTGACAATTGTAATTTCAATTTTATTTTGCATTTAAACATGGATAAGCTTCACTGTCAATGATGTAAGATTTAGTTCTCTTCAGCAGCCTGTTGGAAATGGCATTTTGTTTTGATCCAAAGGTTCAGCTCATCCTTTGACACACAATAATACAAATGTTACCTATTCATGTGGCATTTCTACTCACCACTTTGTGAACTTTGACTCCCTGTTTTGCTCTCATTAGTTAGACAGCAAACACACTCATCTAACGCTTGTTTTTTTTTTTCTGTGCGGAGAGTTTTCCTCTCATCAAACAGCTTTGGCAGCAGCCGTCTGTTTTTCATGTGCTGGAGATTCCAGGCAAGCATGGAAACAGGAAGTCCTGAAGTAACCCTCTCTTTGACCTTCAACTCCCTGCTGCTTTGTTTTCTCCATCCCCAGAGTTTTGCACGTTTCAGTTTTTCCCTGTGTTCTCTTCATGCCTTGTCAACTTTCCTCTGACGAAAAAAATAAATAAAATAAAAGCAGAGAGGATGGATGGAAGCCTATTTAGAAGAGAAATTCACTTCCAAGGTCAAAGGTCTGGCTTTGATTTATGTAATCAGTGTGTGACAGTGTTTTGCGTTTGATGGTGGATGGCGCTGAAATGAATTATGACACGTGAAGATTTAATTTCTTCTGAGCGGAGCCGTCAATAAAAATCCTGTGATTGGTAATGATGTCTTATGTAAAGTGGGTATGTTATACGGTCTTGTCAGCTAAACCGTCTGCCTGCGATACTGGACTACAACAAACACAGCCAAGCAACATTTGGCGGTGTGAAAATGATCGTAGCAAACTGTGCTGTAGCACAGAGAGCGTTTGTCGACTGGACAGCATTTCAGCGCCCGTTCGTGAGACATTAGGATTCTGGCGTCTCTGGAATGCAGCTTCACAGGGACTCGTGTTGAACACGTTGACCTACAGCCACTTAACCACAGAGACAAGTGTCTGCTGTTCCCCGATTCTCTACCAAATGGACCTGACTGGCAGCGACTGGGCTGCAGTGTGAAGGCTGAGACAGCCCCGGAGAACAATGGCAGGGGGATGAGTGTTGGGTGATCAGCATGCTCCAGGGACCTGCTGAGCACTCTGGATTTTACTTGATTTATGTGGGAGAGGCTTTTGGGTTGGACCTGAAGGCTGCTGAGGGAGTACAAGGAGGAGATGTGGCGATGTAGTTGTGATGATGATGGTTTATTGATCTGCTTGCTGTGTTGCATAACGTGCTGAATGTTGGAGTCTCATATAATGCCGCACTTCTCTACCGGGGTGATGTAAATCCAAGAAAAAAAAAGGCATCTTGTAATTGGTTATGTCAGAGATCTTGAATATAATCAGATTGCATAATAATTTGCTGAATATTTAGTGAGGAAAGAATGACAAAATTACAGAGCGCTATTGAGGAACACTTGTCTTTCCTTAGAAAAACGGTGTAGTTAATAACCAATGTGTTCAGTGGCAGGGCAACTTATTAGCAAAGAAAGCGATAACATCTCTCTCTGGATTCGGCTGCTGCGCATCAGAATGACTGGGCTGAATCAATTTTGACGCCAATGGGTTTGAACTGCGCTTTTGCAGAGCTTCCAACACTCTTAAATCGTAAAAACCAAAAGAGAAAATTATCTATTCTTTTCCCCCCCAAAAAAAGGAAAAAAAGCTGCCAAAGAATATGGTTTTATCAGCAATCGTGCCAAAAGTTCGACAGGAATATTTCCCAAATATTGATTTTCTCAGGGAAAAGAAATATTTCGAGAATTCACAGAAGACAAAAAGACGTTGGTTCTTCTGCAACCTAAAAACTTCTCCTTAGAGTCATTTTTCTCTCTCGGTGGGACAAAAAGATTGTTATAAAACATGTTTGCCTCCGCTGCCCTACATTCATATTTAACCAGGGAAATGTTATATTTTCTCTTGCCAGAAGGAATTCCTCTGTTACAAGGTTAAAACAGTTCTTGGTGTGAAGCCATCGTAGTGAGTAGATGAAGGCAGAGCGCGCTGTGTGTGAGACGAGGCCGAGTGTTTAATGCCCTTCAGCACAATTAGATCACACAATTCTCTCTATCTGGTTCCCTTTAGTGCCTCGTTTTGCTGGTTCTTTTGCTTTCGACCACATGGAAGACTGCAAAACGGTCGTGAACATTTGTGTGCAGTTTATGTAAACGTCTGCTTTCAGGAGTTTATTTAATTGTTGCTTTTGTGTTTTAGGTGACTGGATCTTTGTGTAAGCTGGTATTTTATTCCTCCATGTTTTCATTCTCATATCGCCTCATAACTCGGCCCATGTATAGGCAAGATGATACCACACAATCATATTCAATACATCACAATATTACTGAAAACTTCATTTACCTCATTAACATTAATAATTGATTACACACAGAGTGATGTTTTCGAGCATTTATTTTTGTTGACTGCGATGATTTTCCACTTACAGCTAATGAGAAATATGACATCTAGGATTGACATATTACATCAGACCAATAAAAAAAAAAGAATTTTAACACAGAAATGTGGGCTTCATGAAAAGAAAGTCTGTTACGGTAATAAAGTACTATTTTCAAATGGTACTTTTAATCTGTGAATCTCATCAGAACAGATATTTTAATTTATTAGATACGACTGAAGACACATTTTTGCATCCATTCAGTTGGTGTGCTAAAAATTTTAGTAGAAAATACTGCTGCATTATTTTGATTATGCACAGGGTACGTAGCGCTTTATCAAATTAGGATTAAAACTTTATGCTAGTGGTGCTCTAACTAGCGCAGACCGAACGGCCCTGCAGAGGTCAGTGAGGGGAGCTGAAAAGGCCAATGGGTTGGCCCTCACTTCCTCCACTAGAAACTTAAAAAAAACAACTGAAACCTATTGAAATGATTGACCTTTGGTCATTGCAGTTATTTTTTCCTGCATGTTGTCATTTCTTAAAGGGGAGGAACTATGCAAAATCAACTTTTTTGAGCTTTATAACATGTTGTGAAGGCATTCCACCATCGCACACACGCTTCAGAGTTGCTTTGACTCTTTCATACATGTTTAAGGAGTCCTTGCATCTCCTGTGGCAACCATTCAAGGTTGCCTGAGAACTTGTCTATTTAATGGGCAGCTACTTGCTGCTGCTGGCGGCAGCAGCAAGTAGCGTTAGGCTACGTTCACACTGCAACCTGAAGTAACCCAATTCCGATTTTTCACTGTGGTTGTTCACACTTCCGAATATAAGCAACCTGCATAGTTCTCCAGTGTGAACTGCAAAAAGTGTGGTAACGCACACAGAGCACGTGCTCAGTGTTTGTGGAGGGAAACCTGGAGCATAGCTTATGATTTTAAAGTTGTTATCCAACTGGAGCTAGCATATAAACAAATTAATCCTTCTCATAGTTTGCCGTAGTTGTTGTTTTTCTTGCTGGTTGCATGTATCAGGACCCAGAATAGCGACTTTTTTGGAGTGTCAGTAGCGTTCAGGTCGGGTGAATGCGACCTGGATGTCAGGTCACATTTGAATCAGATACATATCGGGTACCCAAATTGGCCTGGGTCGCATTTGAAAAGAATCTGATCTGTGTTGTTCAGATTGTCATGAAACGATCAGACGCAAGTCGAATTATGTTAAAAAAATAACATTGGAATTGGGTCGCTTCAGGGTGCAGTGTGAACGCAGCCTTAGCCTGGTGGAACGGCATGGATGCTGAACTGCAGCTCTCCTAAAACGGATATAAACGGCATCATGAAGCAGCACTGCTGTGACCACATGCTGAAGGCGGAGTGTCGAAAGGGTAGCAGCGCCTTAAAGAGACAGACGCCAATTTCACAGTATCAGATGCGGCTGCTATGGACAGTGAATTTTCTTAAGTGTATATGTTTTTCATATCTGCAGCAGCTGTCACTTGGCTGTGCTGTACAATGTCGCTACGTCCTGCAAAATACACAACAAAAAAATAACACCTCTAATGATTTCTCTCCAGGTTGTACCCCCGTTTGGCATGAAAACAATAAAATGACAACAAATTAAAATTCTTGTTGGTGGTTTTGCCCCTAAGTCCACATAAAGAAAGATAATGATAATTAAATGCCTCTCCTCCCTTTAGTGGCTCACAGAAGCAGGATTAAGTGTTGCTAATGGGGACGGTGCCCCGCCATACATTCTCAAGGGATTCATATTCACCTACAGATGAGACGGTGTGCAGCCCAGAGATAGCTTTGTTAATAAAATAAAGTAAATTTTTTTGGGAGTGTTGGGGACTGGGGGAGGGTTTAGTCTTTGTGATGACTCCGATTAACATTTAGGCCTCGTGAGAAAACTGTCTCCAGGCCGGGAGCTGCCCGTGTAAAGCTGCAGAGAATATTAAAGTAATAAAGGTTGCCAGGTTGGGTTTCCTTATTGAGCCGGTGAAGATAACACAGCTGAGAAGCTCCATCCCTGGAGAGGCCGATGTTTAACTAAGCGCTGATGGATTCATAAACAAGTGAGTGGCGGGGGGCAGACGGACCAGAATCATCCAGCGTATTCGTGGTTGTGGTTGTAAAGTGGGGGATGCAACCTTTAAAGATTTAGAATTGTGGCGACAATAAAACGTGGAATTTGTGACCTTTTTGTAGGCGCCGAAGTCTTTTCCTGAAATGTTTCCTTCGGTATTTCTGGGGTGTGTACGGCGCTGCCCCCTCCTGGCATCATGACTGACAGGACACATGTTTACTCTGATCCTCGTCCTGCTGAGCGAGGCAGCTTTGCCCCCAGCCAGCACTTTTCCATATATCCCAGAATGGACCCACGGGGCTTAACTTACCCGCCTGCAGCGGGTCCCCTGACACCGCCT